ATTACTTATCCCAGGATCTATACAATGAACAAAGCCAGAACAAAATCCCAAATGATTAGGTTATAAAACTTGGAGTCATTTGTATTGCTACCTCCACTCCTGCTAAGCCCAAAGGAGATGCTGAATTGCTGCCATGAAGTGTTGCTGTAATAAGTCCTAGGAAAAGCTTTTCCAACCACTTCTTGCACAGAAAAGGTTTCATTTTTCAGTTGTAACCAGAGTCATATCATGTAGGTGTATTATCTATCAACTATTGCTGGTATGTACTTTGTTAGCTACTGAAGATAAAGCCTGATAAAAATGCAGAAATAGAAAATACTTATATCCATCCCACTTACCTTCAGGCAATGAATTCAGAAGCCCAATGGTCAATCAAAAAAATAAATATTTCTCTGAGATGTGAATCAGATCTCAACATCTGTTATATGTACCTCCACTCTCCGAAGAATCTGGGAACCAAAACTCCTAAATTACATGCAACAGTTTAATTGGAAGAGTAACACATCTGGACTGAGTTACAGGTATAGGTGAGGTCAGAGAATGAGTTTTCTCTGCTTTCAGAAGTGCTGGATCCACTGGGGGTTACGAGCCCAATGTCACTGTGATGAAATCCCTCAAAGGAAGGTAAGTTCTGGAGTCCTAATTCCAGTCCTGTATTTGACAAACCATGGCAAGAAAATGTCTTCAATCCCCTAAAATTTATGAAGTCCTCCTTTAACCATTAGCTATAGTAAATTTAAGCCTTATCACATACATGCTATTTCAAAAGTTTCAAAAGAGAACGGTGGCTGACATTCCTTGAATCAGTATACTTGCACCCCTAATTCTATCATGTACACTGTAAAGCTGTCTGTCTTAATCTCTCTCTATCTCTACATATACATACAAAGGTAATTTCCTTTTCTACATCTATATATGTACATACACACACATATGTACCTCTAATTCCATACATAACTTTTTTTAATTCCCTATAAATAATTCTTTCACCTGTAAGATATCATTCTTGTGCTGCTTTTTCTTAGCCAAACCTGAGCTGGATGCATTGGAGGATACCCCTACTAAGTTTCCAATCTAGTAGAAATGTATATTTTATAGCAGTAGAAAAAGGATTTCTCTGTAAAACATGTGGCATAGGCATAACCCACAGCAAAATGATGTGATGTCCAGGCTTTGCTGGCATTCCACTTGAGTGTCCCAATTCACACTGGTCTTTGCCTCATAGGCCCATTCTGAGCTCATGTCACCAAAACCTTCAATTCCTATGGGGTCATTAAATCCTTACTCAGTTTCCAGCAGATATGGGAATTGTATGTGAGTGAATGCAATGTACACAAATCATTCCAGCCACCCTTGTATTAAATGAACTTTTTTAAGAAGCTGGTTTTGACCTGATAGAATATAATGGTTTCAAGGGAACCATATAGCCATTACAATCCATCATATAAATGAATACTTAGGGACACCTAAATCCAAAGATTATTTGACTGTTATACATATACTTGCACAAAGAGAGCTGGAGGATAGACCCCTCAAATCTGCAGTGAAAACATCTGTACTTTTAGGAAATGCTTCTTAAATATGAGCACATACATAAACTTTCTTAGATTTCCAAAATGATCAGTTCATTTTAAATCAAAGTGATCCCCAGCATCAAATTACTTTTTGGATGTATTGCTAGCAAATTATCAGTTTCGAAAAGCAAAGGAGTTTAGAGTGACAAAGGGTATTTTATATGACCAGTTCTGATTGTGGACTCTGGCTTCTCTATAACCTGATGGTTTTTCACATGCTATTAATTATTGTGTACTGTACTCCTTTAATATCTATGGCTGATACTGTAAAGCTGAGGAAAAGCAAGCAATAGAAAATACAAAAATGTTCTTCAAACCCTGCTTTTGCTTCCTTTGGTTGCTCCCTTGTAACGTAAAAACAGATAAATGGTTTCCTCTTTCAAATACAACAAAAAGAAATGACTCCTGGGAGGAGCCCTGGGATGCCAAGTTTGAGCCTGGATTGAATTTTTATGACCACTGTAAAAACTCCTGAAAATAGGAAATTATAATGGAAATGCTGACTCTCACTGCAGCAGTGTGAGCAGCACCACCACAGCACTATTGGTGATCTAAAGGGGCTGGAAGTTAAAGTGGAATCATTTACACAACCACTTCGCAAACAAGGGGTGTGTGTATAGGGGTGGGGGAGATCTTGCACTTAATTAGTTCCTTGCAAAATCCATTGTAATTCTTGAAGAAGACAAATCCCCTAACGCTCTATTCCGTGCTCTGGATTTTCTTTTCCAGTGCTCAGAAGCTGCTGGCAGAGCTGTGTCTCTGCTGGGTGACCAGCCGCGGTGGGGAAGGGGACGGGGCCGCGGACGCCGTAATCCTGAGCGGGTACGGGGCTCTGCTTCCGCGCCGGCGGATCGAGCCTCGCTGCAGTGGCTCGCTAGCGAAGAGCAGCAATATATTAAAGCGCTGGGTCATATCTCAGCACCACACTAAAAATAAAGCAAACGATTTCCCCCTCGCTAACAAAATGGAGATGCTTCGAAGTCTGGCTTTTATTTTCAGGGAGTCCTAGAAGTAAAAAAAAAAAAAAAAAAAAAAAAGCGAAAGTTGGCAGAACAAGGTTCTATCCATCTCTGTGCCGACTTTGGTTTGGGGGGATGGGGGCGGGTGTTGCTATCAGAAGAGCTTTTGCTCGCACCGCGGGAGCAGTTTCCACCCGCGTTGTTTGCCGCTGTTCTTCCGTGTCTTGTCATTAGCAGCTCTTAAAATAATAAGGCTCCATGGGACCTGAGGAGGGAACTGCGGGCCGGGAAGGAGGGGGGGACCTGTTTCGGAACGGGGGTGCGGCAGCGAGCTCGGCCCCGACGGGCTCGTTTCCCTTCCTGGCCCTTTGTGTCTTCTCCCGTTTCCATCTGAGTCCGGTTGATCCCGGCGAGGGGGAGGAGGACGGTCAGAGCCCGCACACTCTAATCCCTCACCGCGGTCAACACCAAAGCCGCAGGAAGAGGAAAAACCGGGCAAAGCGAAGGGAAGCAGAAAAATAATTAGACAATTACATATATATGTATGTGTGTGTGTATATATAGCCCCCACGTGCCACTGATAACCAGGGGGCTTGTCTCGGGGGGGCACACCTTGCCCGGGGAGGTCAAGGGGGGGACGCTGCCGTGCACTTGTGCCTCCTCCTTCCTGCGTGTCTGCCGCCGGGGCTGGCTCCGTCCCTCCCAGGGAGGCTCCGGGCGCGGCGAGGAAACGCCGCCGAGCAGAGCCGGCTGCTCTGCCCTGCTCCCCGCTCCCTTCCCCCGGGAGCGCTGGGAACTGCAGGGCTGCCGACCGGAGGCAGCTCCGACCAGCCATCCCCCCCACCCACTGCCGCGTTGCGGGGGGCGAGATGTTTGCTGGACTCCGGGCGGCGATTGCAGCCCTTGAAACCCGCCGAGCAAACAAACATCCCCGCCCTGCCCCGCCGGACCCGCTCCTCCCCGCAACCCCGCCAGGCGCCCGCGGCTGATGCTTCGCGAGTGGCACGGTCCTTTCTCCTCAATAAAAGATTTTTCGAGGGACAAGCGCCGTTCCCCGGTGGGGAGAAAGTCCCACGGAAGCAAAAGGGAATTTTATCCTGCACATGGCTATGGTATGGGGCCGGGAATCGTTATTCTTTCAAAGGTGAAGCGGGTCTCGAAGGTGAAGCCGGGTGACCCAGCTGAAGGAGGGAGGAGGACGAGCAGTCAGGCTGTGCAGCCCCCTCCCAGCACACGGCTAGGTGCCTCCAGGGGTGCCTCCAGGGGTGCCCCGCATCCACAGGAGCTCAGACCAGAGGAGGAGCGATCCCCAGTACCTGCGCTGCGCAGGACTAGCCCTTGAACCCAGAACTCGTTGGAGACGAGGTGACAAGCGCAGCAGGCTCCCTACGGGAGGGAAGGGGAAATGCCCTCCGATGCGCTCCCCGTGACCCCTAAGTCTGCTCCACTGGTGGGGCACGAAGCCGCCCGCTCGGCACCGGCCCCGGACCGCGGTGTGGCGGGGCGGCAGCGCTCGGCGCCGGCCCCGGCGCTGCGGGCGGGGACCGGGCAGGCAGCTCCGGTGTGGTGGCCGGCTGGTGCTGTCCGGGACACTGCTCCCCGAAAAAAGAGGGGTACAACCCGAGGGGGCCTTCACCTTGCAGATACGAGGGTCAGGATGGGGACGGGGAGGGTTTTCGGAAGGAGATACAGGTGGGAAGTAGGGATGGGCGCTCCGATCTCCCCAGTCACCACACAGATTTCTCTTGAAACGAATTGGCTTTTGCTGTCACGTCTAAACCCTACAAACGTGGCTGGCTTTGGGAGCAGATGCCTTGACTTTTTACGAGTCTCTTGAAGTTGTAACATTCCTAATCGAGAGCAGATCTTCGCTGTAGAAAAGAGCAGCGTATTCCCTGCGTGTCAGTGCTAACAGTGGTTTTGTATCCCGTTCCCGGTATTAGGTTCCCCACCGTTACAAGTTGACATAATGCAAATTAGCAAGGGACATCATAAAAATTCATCCGAGAAGAAAGGTTTTGGAACAGCATACCCTTCAAAACTTAAACACCAGATATTTAAACCAAATGCACTTAACAAGACAGTTAACCTGAAACTTCAGTTCAATCGCCAGTGGGTTGACAAGTCCAAATATTTTTATTTTTTAACAAATACGTAAATACAAGGCTATATGTTATCCGGGAAGCTTTCAGCGACAGCTTCCAGTAATACTGTGGGATAGAGTAATATCCCAGCGACCCGCTTTGATTATAAACTAATTTTGAGTGGGAATAATTTTTTGTGTCTCCCTCCCCCCTAGACACTGAGAACTTTTTCTGCCCTTTATTTCGATGTTTAAGTATTTATTTCGGAATGATGGTTTCTGTAACTGGAAATCCATTCCACACACCCCCCCCCC